TCTCTCTCTCTCTCTCTCCCTCCCTTTGATCTCGACGAAAGATTGAGAGAAGAGGGCCTCTAGTTTTGCAGCTAGAGGTCTCTGGTTCACCGAATTGCTCTCCCTCTCATCTACCATAGCCAACAAACCTACTGACCCATACATCCACCAAACTTCTTTCCTATTGTTCCTAATCACCACAACCATATCACAGCATTAGTGTCACTGTTGATGCCCCTATTTCTCTATCCATCTATTCTTTCTTATCATTTCTCTTCGTCTAAAAAGCACTACTGCCTCTATTTTTTCACCACCCCACCACCCTTCACATCCCTTTGTAAAACCCACCTTTATTGAATGATATTTAATGTTTGTGTCAAAGAAAGAAGTTTCGGGTATTAGATTGGATCAAAGCTTCACTTTTGGCTATGTATTAATATAGCTTAATTGGTCAACACGTACCAGGTGTTTAATGAAATGTGTGCACAATGAGGTCTCTTTTTTGGACATGGTTGGAATTGGAGGTGGTAATTGTTCCGTGGGGAAGAGCTCCATCATTGTGGAATGGAGAAGATATCCGTGGAGCGACCAATTTCCTTAACAGAGGCACTACCAAAACTTTATTCCCACTCTAGGGTGGACTTTTCTCTTTTTTTCCCATTATAGGGTAAACTGGCTTTTCTAAAATCGGTTTTTAGAAAATGATTTTTCAAAAGCTGTTTTTAACCTTACACTTTTTTTTAAAAAAAAAATTCAACATAAATAGTTTTTTTTTTTTTAGCAAAAATATTTTTTATACAAAAAATGATTTTTTGAAAACCGTTTTATAAAACAGATTTCTAAAAGCTTTTTTTACATAATTTTTTTTTTTTCAGGTTTCAAGTGTGACCCACGTTTTCGGCTCCAACTTTTCTTATTCTTCAACACTTAAACTCCTACTCCAACATAACACTTCATCACTCAACAATACAACAGACACAAACTGGAGAAGAGACCACCGCGAGGCGGCAACCACCGTGAAGACAAGACCACCACAACCAGCAGTTGTCCCACCCCTCTCACATCATAGTTGTCCCACCTCTACCACGCCAAAGCTTCACACCTCTTCCTCTCATCGCCCACATTGAGGTTTGTTTTGCAGAAATTAGGGTTTTCATTTTTTATTTGGGATTTTTAATTTCAAAATTAGTGCTTTTTGAAATTAGGGTTTTGATTTTGATTAAGTAAGAATAAATGAGAATTTTCTTATTGCTAATTTAGAGTTTCACTCTTCTCATACTTCATGTTTGCTCTTGTGCTTTTTTTTATTTTTTATACCAATTTTGTCCCAGTCTCTGCCAAGAATTAGCCACTAGAGTAGCTGTAGACACCCCATTTGACTAGCCTTAAGACTTGGGTTCTCTTTTCCGAATACCCAATGATGAAAGTTGAGATATGCTAAATCTTACGAGTTCTTCAGTAGGAAAACCAAAACTCAAGCTTTAAACCTGACCTAGTATTCGTTTTGGCCAAAATGCTTTCCGACCGTTTGAAAACCTTTTTCAAAATACATTTGGTGGTGCAGTTCCAAACATTTTCGCAATGTCCTATGGCTCACATTTTCAAACTCAAAATGTTGTCTTTTTTAGTAAACCAAGCAAAGGATATGGTGAGGATGAATGGAAGGCGTTAAATCCTCTGAAATACCTGTTTCTCCTTTCAAATCATGCTAACTTTACTTTATTAATCTGATGATATATTTTCATCTGGCCAAATAACAATTTATGGCCGGATGAAAATCTATTTGGTCGGATTAATAATTGTTTGATCAGCTGAATTGTCTGAGTATAGAGCCTTTTTCGAAATTTCAGCTTTTCCTGCAAGTTTTCCACAATTATCTTAGATATTTATGTCCAAAAGTCTATAAATAGAGGACGAAACTTCATTTCTCAGGGTTACAAAATTTACCTAAGCCTCAGAAAGAAGATTGAGAGCTCACCTTTACTCTTCATCTTCAACTTACACTTTTCAAACACCAACCATCAAAAACTCTATTAAAGCTTAGCTCCAAGCTTCTTACTGAGGATTCTCGGAACACTAAGCTATATCTAGAGAACCTTGAGGGTGCCAAGAAGGAGTTTGACAACCAAAAAGTTCACTCTCTTTAAGAGGATAAACCTTTGAAATTTTATCACTCTCGCTCTCTCTCTCTCTGTTGTTATTCATCTCTAAGCTCTAATTTTCATTATTTACTTGTTGTAATCATGTGATAAGTCGTCGTAGATGTGGATAGAGGTAGAAAGTAACCACCCATCCATTGAGTTGATAATTTTCTTTACTTTTCTATTGTTTTTCTCTCCTTTCTTGCTTTCTAGATGTATAATTCATTATTGTTGTATATAGATGTGTTGATTGGAACAATGTGGATGTGGAAGGAAGTAGAAAGTAGTCATCCTTCCACAAGTTTGGATTATGTAGATTAAATTCTTTCATTTTCATGCACTTTCTCATCATATATTTCATCATTCAAGTGTATTAGCCCATATGCTTCAACCCATGCTCAATCTTAATTAGTGGTGGTGGTTTCATAGGGTTAGTTGGATGATTCTTGAGATTTGATGTTGAGAAAGTTTTTATCTCTTATTTTGATTGATTCTTCTTGGAAGTTAAAGTAAGAAGTTTTAGGTAAAAGATGTTCAAAACTCTCTTTTGAATCCATTTGAACAAAGAAAAATGTGGAAACACTACTAAAAAAATACTTTTTGCGACCGCCACAAGCCGTCGCAAATAATAAAAATACAGTCGCAAAAGACTTTTTGCGACGGCCTATGCGACCGCAAATGGGAGACGCAAATGTGAGGGTGGCAAATACTTTTTGCGACGGCAAAACAACAGTCGCAAATTATTTGCAACCACCTAAACTACTTTTTGAGACAGCTATTTTGCCGTCGCAAAAAAAAAATAAAAAATAAAAAACACTTTTAGCGACCATTGTTTTACTGTCGCAAATAATTATTTCTTAAAAACAAAATCATATACGGGTTTGCTACAACCAAAAAAAAAATCAATTACAAGCACCAAACAATTTTTTGTTAATGAAAAATAACAAAATTAACAAATTAATAAAATTTATAATAGACATTATCCATTATCCATCCTTAAATACACTGTACTAAAAAATTCAAGTCTTAAAAAAAAAAAATTAAGTAATAAGCCTTTAATAATGCAATTCAGATCACCTTTAGATGATATTTTTTTTGCAATGATTGCCGAGCCATGCTAGTGTAGATTCCACACATCCACCAAGCAAAGAACAGACCCTCATAAATGAGAAATAATGTCTGTGGATTAATGCCATTAAGAACTGATGTCAACGCAGCAAATGTCATACCACCTTCGACAGATATGATATGACCAACACAGGCAGCCCTTTAAGAGATATCAGCGTTCAAGTTTTCAATGTTTCGTCCAAATAACACACATGGGCAGAATCGTCCAGTCAAGCCTATAAGATGAACAAATGATTCAAAAATAAACGAGGATCTCAGTAATGCAAAACACAAAATACATTCAGACATCCTTATCCAAAGAAGAAGCAATTATTGTGTGTAAATTTAGATGTATAAATAATGCATTTTATTTTTCATATTAACTGAGTTTTAAGCATCAAATTCTAGAAAAAATTGTTCCGTTAATTTCGTTTGCCAGTCCGTGAAACTATTGCTATTATACCATGTTGATCATTTTTATATGCGTCTATCTTGTATAATTATGCTAAACATGCACAATCCCAGTTAGACATGAGCTCTATTTGACAAAGGATGCTGAAATTAGATTTTTAATTAAAGAAAAATGAATGCCACTAGTTGAAAAGTTGAAGTAGATAGAACACTTACAACTGTCGGTATCTTCAGTACACCCAAAAATTCCAGTTGACCAATCTTCTTCAGCCGGGGGTTGATAGGTTAGAGGAAGTGTTTGTCCACATTCTTGGCATCTACAAGCAGTCAACTGTTGCAATCAACAATGAAAACAAACAAATGCAAAATATTATATTTATATTCCAAGTAATAAAAAAATAATAAAAAACACATTGTAATTTGATAACTAATGGCTCAATAACAAATATATCCACTCTTTGCATGATAAGTGGAAATGGAAAAGGTCAAAAAGACTAAATTAAGATATCAAGCAAAAAGACTAAATTAAGACAAATATATCTACACTAGAGGTTGGTTTCAGTGCCAGGTGGTGACCTGGTGTACAGGGGTGGAGGGTGTTCAAGTGGTACCCTGATGCTGAATGTTATTTGCTATCTTGTGCTTTGCTGTCTTGCTCACTTGTGGATGGTTGGCAGGGGTGAATTTGTGTTGTATGTCCTCTATTAGCGTAGGAGTTTATGTACTTGGCTGTGTGTTCTGCTGAATTGGTTTTGTTTTGCTTTTATTTCGACCATTGTTCACTCTCACATTTATTTACAATTTTTAATAATCGTAACAGTGTTTCTCTCCATTATTCAAAGTTTTAATGATAATTTAAGTTGTCAAAGTACACCATTTAAATAGGGGAAGGATTAAAAAAATATTTACAAAAATATGATCATTACATTAAGCACTAAAAAATTGCAACCCCACCGATTTGCAGAGATGTAACATGCAATCTGCGTATACTGGATGGCAGACAGAGACTGTGTATGAGGTATACAAAACATAGTTACATAGTAATAGCAATAGAGAAGGGCCTAAATTGATTGTCTTGAAAGTTGAAAATTACCAAAGCACATCAACCATGAAGTCAAAATTTGTACCTCTTTCTCTACACTAGGGAACCTAGAGTAAAAAATTATATACTCAGATCACTAAATATTTATAAAAGAATCAGGCCATACCTTGTCAAACCGAAGGTGTAGGACAACAAACTTCCTTTGTCCTTGACAATTGCAGCTATCCCATAACTGGATCATTGACAATGTATGAAGATCACATTTGAAGTATAGAAATGAAGTAAAAAGTTCAAATAACTTTAAAACATCAACTAATACACTCAATAGGAACCCTGTACTCATCTTGGACCAAATTAATGCCTACATAAGGACAAAGATCAAATTGTTGACCATATTATATTATAAGCATAAGAATATGGTTGACCAAATTCACATTCATATTCTATCATGATTATTAAACGAAGAACCATAGGAACTAAAATATACAAATAAAGCCTAATGGAAGGGCACAAATATATATTCTCATACTAAGACCTGAAGATGCATAAATTGGTTAAATGATGTCAAACATTACCATCTTTGCACCAAGTCCAAACTTTCCGCGTGTCTGCTTCAAGCCATATTTTGTCCCAGACAAAACTACACAAATATAAATATTCTCACAATAAGTCAATATTACAATATCATTATAGAGTTGAAACATATTAATCCTAGCAATTCTCAATGTAATATGAACACATTGAATGTCCATGATCAAACAAATATTCCAGTCCATGTGCCAACAATAAATCGTATCAAATGGAAACGGTATCTTGCAAGTAGTGTCAAACCTCGTCCAAACATATTGGGAATATCATCATGTGGCATTCCTCTTCCATTGTCCTACATTAAAAGCAAAGCATAGTAAATAGAGTCAACCTCCAGAGAATAGTAATTTTGGCATAGCTTTCACTGCTTTTTGCAGCAAATATTGCACAACCAATACACAAATCTCTTTACCTTTCCACACAAACAGGGCAAAAGAGAAACAGATCACTAGTTTTCATGGTGATGGCACTTCATTCACCCCCGGTCACCCTCTCTAACTTCACAAACTACTAACCATTAAAAACACTTCCCAATCCAACCCCAAATACACCAGTCAGTCCCCCTGATTCAGGATCAGATATGTACCTAAGAATATATTGTGGATCATACCAATGATAATCAGCTAGTTCTAGATCACAAAATAATAAAAATAAAAATTTAGAAATTCCTAGAATCATTGTATGATGGCAAAATTGGAGTAATATCATTTTGATGACTGAAGATAATCAAACATATCCATCAAACATAATTCTTTATCAATAATCAATGATTTTGGAGCCATTTTTTTCATCACATTTGAATCTGATGAAAAATTTGATGAACAATTGGAGATGCACAACCAAGAGAGACAAAACTGATAAAATTATAAAGCATTATAACAAATCCTAATGAATTTAACCTCTAAGAGAAACAAAGAACTCCGAATAGAATTGCCTAGAGTTGGAAACTAACCTGCTCAGTATGTCCTTGAGGAAAATAGAACACGCGCTCACCTTCAGTCAAGAATTTAACCTCTAAGAATAGACAAAACAAGAATTTAACCTCAATATGTCCCTCTCTCCTTTCTTCAAACATATTCAAAAAATATGATTATAGAAATCACCAAAGACATTCACAACATCCAACAAGCAAAAGTTCCAACAGCAAGAGCAATGATGAATACACTTGTACCGAGTGATAATGATTCATGTCAATGTCAATGCTAACAGATCAATCAACTAGAAAATCCAATCAGCATGATCAACGAACTAATTTAATATCACATATAAATCAAGCAAATTCAACACTAGGACTTTTTATCTTCCAAATTCAAATTTACCAGTTCTTGCCTCAACAAATTCAAAATTGCCGATAATAAATGAAATCTTGATTTCAAGTTAAAAACTCGGGGTCGGGGAAACCCGATCCCCGTTGGGGGCAGGGACAGGGACCGTGATAGGTTCCCCGTCGGGGATAGGGGCCGAGGACGAGGCCATGTTCACCATCGGGGATCGGGGACGGGGAGTGTGATCCCCGGCCCCGCCCCGCCCCGTTGCCATTCCTAGCAAGAATAAGATGAGTTGAACCAGTACATACCTGTACGAGGATGAGACGAATTAGTCGAACCAAAGCTTCCTCGTATGATATGTATGTGTAGCTAGAGATAGATAGATAGATAGATAGATAGATAGATAGATAGATAGATAGAGAGAGAGAGGGATTGGGGGCGAGATTCATACTGCTGGAGATCTTCAGACGACAATGACGAGCGAGAGAGCAGAGCTATACAGGTCTGTTGAACGCGTGCGAGAGAGAGAGAAAGAGAATGATCCGCCATAGATCTTTAGAGCTATTTGTCAATTCTCTCTCTAGAATCATCTAGAACACAAGCTATCAAAGATATATACACAAATATATGCATGTATATAAAGAGAGAGAAAGAGACTTGGAAGAGGTTGAGGAGGGTAGGGGCGAAGGCGAGGCAGCCAAAGGAGAGAGAAACGTTAATGGCGACCTGAGATCTGAGAGCTTCGACGATTGATTTAAGACACACACAGAGAGAGAGAGAGAGAGAGAGAGAGAGAGAGAAGGGAGGGGGGGGGGGAGAACGATATCAATGTTTGTGAAATAGGGCTAGGGCAATTATAAGGAAAAAAGGAAGAAAAAATAAATATAAGGAATAAATAGATTATTCGCAACTGATAATTAGGGGGTCGCAAATTGTATAGTAGCAAAAGGTCATTTTTCTAGTAGTGAAACATCCTTGTTCCATGAGTAAAAAAGGAGTTTTCAATACTCTTTGATGAATTTCTTTCTTTTAAAGTAAAGCTTCCACTAAGAAATGGTGAGCATTAATCTACTGTCTCCAATTAATAGAGCATGGATTTGGGTACTAACCTACCCTTATTCACAAAGAGATGATTGTAGGTTCTCATATATTTCTTAGGCTTGAATTTCACTTTGCTTTAATTCACTTTATTTGTTGAGTTGTTGTAAAATATCTGTTGTATATAGCCATTTGTGTTATCAATAAGGGTTGAGGCCTATCTACCTCTTCCTTGAATGCTCTGTACAAAAGAGAGAGGTAGAAATGATGAGTACCCCTTAAAAGATTTGTTTTGTTTCTATTATGGACCTGCTTCATAAAATAGAGTTTTGCTCAGAGGATATGTTCAACCGGACCCCTTTTTCGTCGGTTAGATGAATTTGTGTACGGCCAGATGGGTTTCTCAAAGTAGAATAGGGCAGTTTCTAGGGACTGTTCTCCTGGACATTTTTGTGACTGCTGTTTAAATTTGGCTATTTATTTTATTATGATTTGTTAGATTCAGTTTTATTTCAGTTGCATCAATTCATTGTTGTAATAATATCTCCAACCCCACATCTTTTCTTTTGCTTATGCATTCATTGTTATAATAATCTCTTCCACCCGTCTTTCTTTCTTTTCATTCAAATTGTTGTAATGACTTCTAGCCCTATATCTTTCTATTCTTTTTATTTACATGCTTTCTGTATATAGCATCATGTCTCATTTATCATATCCATGACTTGCATACATTTTTCATATATTCGGTTTCTACTCATTTACATTTGTGGAGTTTATCATTTCAAACCTGATTATGTGTGCTCCCTCATGTCTTGAGATGAAACACATGTCATATGTTAGTAGCCGAACCTTTAGATGCATTCTGTGTATGTATTGCATTAGCTATTTGTATATAGGATCATGCATATATTTTCTTGATACATTGTTTTGGCTTACCACCAAGGAGTACTAGGTGAGCATTTTTAGTTTTAGCATATTGTATGTGCATGTTCTTTATTGTATCCATTACTATACCATGTTGCTACATATTTAATCGAAATATCCGTATGAATGCCAGTGGATGGAAGTTGTGTTGCTTGTGTTGGAATGCAATTGATTCTTATGCTTCTGAATTCATTTTCCTTTGAAATTGTGCAAAAAAGATTCTTCCAAGTGCATGAAACCAAAGCATAACCAAAACAAGTGATGCAATCTATATTTATCTGCCTCAGATAGTAATGTTAGCCATATTAAATAAACCGAAACATGAGTATATATAGAATATAAAACTTACATCATGACTTAGTAGATGTCGATTTTTCGATCGAGTGAGTGAGTGGGGGTGCTTAATTAATGACCTTCCTCCCTCATACCTAAGTTTCTACCGAGACACTTTGGTTATGATAGATAGTGGCCTTTGGTACAAGTCATGGGTTTTCTAGTTTTCCCAAAAGATTAGGTGGCGACTCTGAGATCTGATGATGTAGTCTATTTTCGGTAAATGTTTGCAATAAAATAGATTTCAATAAAAGTTGTCAAATTTTGACTCTCATTTCTGTTTCACATTGCACTAGTGAGACTATATCAAAGAAATAGGGAGTCTGAACTATTAGGCGCGCGTGGTAACCCAAAAAGCATCCTATAGTTTTTGGCAATTCTACTGGAGAAACTAAGAGAACTTGATTTGAACTTCATGATGTGATGTTTTCTTTACGTTTATATGTTCATTGCATCTCATGCATGGTGCATATAGGTTACTGTATTTTCCATTTGATATCTTAAATGGCATGCCTGACATGGGCTCTATCATAATGGGAATTGTGCCTCAGATCTGTATCACCAATGTAATGTTTGATCCTCCCTTTACTTATAGGTGTTGGGAATTGTAGATATTTAGGTGTCTTACTGGGATAACTTTTTGACCAGATTGACCTTGTGCATATATTGAGCTATAGCAACTTTCCAAGTTAGGACATGATGCTCTTCCATGTCTAAGATGTGATGATATCACTTGTTTAAATAATGAAACCCTAGATCGTTCCAAAAGCTAGGACAAGGTAACCCTAACCCCCCATAGAGGTGTTTGTTCTCCTTAACTGTTATATGCTTTATGTGGTATCTATATAGGGGTTCTCTGTTCACATTAGTGGTTTAGATATATCAATTGACGAGTTGAGATTAGTGTAGTTTCAGTGGGGTATCTAGTGATCAGTTGTACAAATGTGGTGATTGAGCCGAAGTGTTGTCAGAATGCTGTCTGATTGATGTTTTGTTTCTTTGTTTTCTTTTCTTTTGCTAGGTATTTAGTTCACTATAGCTTCAGAAAATTCAAACATCCCTCAAACTCTGTGGACTTGTCCTGGTAAGCTCTGTAAGACTACAGATCTAGTTTAAGATCAGCTAGTGTTTGTGTCTCTTCCATCAGTTAGAAGACGAAGGGTCAGACTAGTGTAGTCGGATAAGAATTTGCAACAATCGCCTCTCAGATCTCCCTTGTTCAACTCCCCGGTTGTCAGTTCACCTAATTTCGTAATGGCTCAAAACCCATAAGATCTAGTAGACATGTTCACTAATCTCTAGCGGGCTATGGATGCACTAAACCAGACAATTATTGCTCAGGATGAAACAAATTACTGGGATGCAGCAGCCATCTCGCCCACCACTCACCCACCTTCGGCCGACCATCTAATTCCAGATTTACCTCCTCCAGTTAAGAATATTTAGGTTCATGTCTACTAAGAAGAGTCAGCCCAGGCTCAAGCTTTCAAAGCTCCAGCACATCTTATCGAGGGGCTCTTTCCCCTTGATTTCCTGAGTTTGATCCAACTATGCTAAAGATAGCCGAGTTGGAGAAATTGTTCAAGAAATCCCAGGGAATCATTCTATCCTCGATATCGAAGATGGGTGTATCAAAACTACTGTAAGACTACTAGAAAGATTCAAGATACCACATGTAGATAGATTTGATGGATCAAGGGACCCCATGGTTGAGTGATTTGTGATGGCTTACCAGTGTGTTGGTTCATCCCTAGCA